GTACAGAAAAAGGTACAGTCACACTCATCTTTGACAGACAAATAGTTCCTTAACTATAAAAAACACTCCAAGATTTGAGGGTGTTGCCAAATAATGTAGAACAGAGAAATACTTGGACCTTACAGACTATTCCTTTTTTAAACTGTTAGAGAAATTAGTTTTTGTCATTTCCACAAGGGATTCAATAACAAAATATTACCTTCTACTTCTACTGAAGCATATATATACAACTAAACTTACCTTTTGATTCATCATTCTTTTTATCCGACGAGGAAAATGACTGAGCCGTATCAGAAGCCATTTGTGACACTGGGTTGATCTAAGAATAAGTAAGTGGTAAGCAGAAATTGAGAACTGTAATTCAATCGGTTGCCTCTCTCTTGACGCTTTCCTTGGTTTGAACTGTTCATAAAGGAAAAAAAATACAATAAAACATTTCAACTTCATCTTTATAATATTTTTTACACGACAAGAACTTTGCTGTGATGGAGTATAGGCTCTGATTAATAAATTGGCCCATACATTCATAAACAATTTCTAGTACGAACTATGATTTATGCTAATCGTTTCTTCAAAAACTGATTCTCTTCCTGCAAAGAGTACCAACTTCTCAGCTATAACTAATTTAGGGGAAAAAAGAGTTCCCGTCTTCGATATTATGATGCCTTCTTATCTTTATTAGAGGAAAATATTCAAATTGACTGAAATTTGAAAGAGGTTAGCACGATGTGTGTGTGTTTGGGGACACAGAACGGGGTAGGGGGTAGCATAAAAGGAAGGCTTAAGGTCACATATTTTCTGAATAGTAGTATAGTAGTGGATTTTGTATTACTATAATAGATTGCATTTGAGTAGTGCAAATTCCAGCTCAAATAGCAAGCTCCCAATGCGCTTTACAATCCATAGTATTACTCCAGCAGATCTGAAAGCATTCTGAAACAATCTCAACTTCCCGGGAAGCATACAGTGCAAACTGCCATTTGTGCTAAAACACAAACATGCTGACAAAATCTTAAATCGCTTTCTAGGGCCAGGTACTCATTCCCACCTGGGTAAAGTGAAGAAAATTTAGAAAATGTGTGTGAAGCGCCTCTCATAAGGATGCAACGTAAAGCATAAGGCTCAAACCCTCCAAACCGGCAATCTCACAGTCTCGTAACCTAACCATTAAACTACTGATGCCACATCTGGACATAGACACTATAAGGCCTGTCAGCAATGATGTACTATTAGGTCTGCCTAGTGCACGTTCCACAAAGTTTTATCAAATCTCCATTTGATGCCGTTTGACAAATTTGAGGATGGCCCGGTTTTCCTTCATGGAGGGGAAAAAGCTACCATTTTGGCATAATTAATAATTTTATCAAATCTTCCAAGGTAAAACATCTTTGATTTTCCATGTCACCATTTGATGAAACAACCAATCAGAAAGATACTTCCGTTACTATGCAATGAGGAACCAGTTCTTTTGTTTGTAAGCGGCCGGAATATGACAGACAGGCCCTCTAGCAGACTTTTAGGTCTCATTTGATGAACCAAAGTACAGACCAATTTGATATACTGTATACGGAGAGCTCGAATTCATCTGGACCAGTCTAGGTAGTTCAAGGGATCTGTACCGGGGGATATCTTGCAAAGATAAAGAAGATTTTAAAAAGGAAACCATGGGCACAGCTCGGCGGATGCGTGATTTCGAGTCTTCTGTGTTCGACCTATTCATTATATATACTGTAATGTGCACTGGCCATCTCTCAAATGTATCAAACTACATCAAATTGGAATTTGGAAGACTTTTCGCAGTGAGCAGTGGGTAGCAATTTCAATTTCTTTTTGTTGTTTGTTTTTTTGCAGAATGAAAACTCAGCTTTATATATTACGATAATTCGTTAAAAACTCAAAGAGAGACAAAAAGCCAAGAACATAGATTACAGTTAAAGAATTGGAGTCAAGATTGAAATTCTATAAGTTTATTTTGGGTTTGATAAATTATTTCGACTATATTTTATTAATAAAATGGTACCTTCCTGCATCAAATAAGTTGCCATTATTGTTTTTGGTACAAAAGGTCAGAATTCCTGAAGGTCCCTTAACTATCTTTGAGCCAAACAGTAATGCATATTATATTATGTCACATGGTGTATCTAATTTGTTCCTTGGTTCTTTAGAATTATACGAGCCGGTTCGGAAATAAACATCACTAAAACTGAAAAGTGAAAATGGCACAGCATTTTTTTTTCAAAGGCCACCTTTATTCTCACCCCGGGTGAGAATAACCCACGTCTCACTCCTCCCCCCTCCCCTCCTTTGATGAGAATTAGAATAGCTCCCACCCAGGTGTGGGCATGAGGCGAGGACTCCCCCCTGACCTCTCGCAGGCCAATAAAATCACCTAGGCCCTTAGTGGCTTACCGCATGCGGTTGGGAACGAAATAATTAATGTAAAAACATTTTTCGCCTCTCCAGTAAAAAAAAAAAAGGCTCACTACCGACGCTACTGAATGGGATGTGGGACCAGCCACCAGCCGGACCATTCGTTATACACACACTTAACGATGGCAGGCCTCTCACTCTTTTCCTGCACACAATAAATTATGGCTCAGGGAACAGAGAGCGAGTACAAACATAACAAGACACAAGCACAAGACAACTTGCACGACAGTAGAAGGGTTGTAAATTATTCAGACCAAATAGACGAGGGCGTTAAATCGTGTTTACTAGATCTAGGCTAATAATTCAACAATCCAAACTCTTTTCAACACTTTCACTTTTTTTCTTTTATTATTTTATTCTTTCTTTTTTTCTTGCCTCTTCTTTCCCCTTTTTCTTGAACATTTGGAGTTTGGAGCCAAAAAAGAGCCAAAGAGTCAAATGAAATTCTCCGGGCCAGACACCATCCAAAAGAGCCAAATTTTTGGGATTTCGCTCCAAACTGACAACCCTGACTGACTATTCGGACACGAACAGTGGCAAACATGATGCTGTGGAGCATACCCACCCACCGGGCATGCTCGCTAACCTCAGAACTGATCCCTCTAGGGTCATTTACAGTAAAACGAGGGGGTGCGAATAGCGAGACAGAATAACCACTTCCTTTTTCAAAAATCCTAAAACACATTTGTAGTCGGACTCGAGTCCGAATAACAATTTTTCATATTCGGACTCGAGTCCGAATACAAATAATTCTTATTCGAACTCGACCGAATATGAAAAAATGTTATTCGGACTCGGGTCCAGAAAAAAGGATGTGTCTTCGTTCTATAGATCTAACGTTCAGTGCTTCCAATTTTCTGCCATTTTTTAGTTTCCCCAACACCTTTTCTGCCGATCCGATGCCCGCCGCCTCATTGATACGCCCCCCCCCCCACCCCCCATGTTTCCCACTTTCTTTGTTGTAGAAAAAGGTAAAATTGAAGATTAGCAGACCACCTGGCACCTGCATATTATGAGCTGTGTAAAAAAAAAAGACTGATTCATTCAAATACACAAGCCTGTGTCATCTCGATTGTTTGTAACCAAGAAAAAGTTATGTTGCTGTGTAGAGCTGAGCATACGGCAACTTTTGATTCCATAGACCAGCGCACAATTCATTACGTAGATCTATGTTAAGATTAGCTTATAATTGTAATAATGATCAGTTGCCAGGGGGAAAAAGACTGACGCGTATGCGACGTTCAACGCCCGGACCGATAGTGCCCCCCACCCCCCTCCCTGACATGCACACAGCCACACGTGTGCAGGCCGCCCATCTGACCCCGACACACGCTAACGAGCCATCTTTAATTGCTTCTGATGATCTCTTGACAAATAAACATTTATTAGAAGCGCTATAACTTTTCAGGCCGGCCTCAAATTCATCATAAGATAAAAACTCGGCTCCTACACAAAACGCCTTTTTGCCCGAAGTAATCCCGGTCTCTACCCAGCCTGAGGCGAGTCACGAGTGAGGCAGGACAGGAAGTCGGAGTCACGAGTCACAGGAAGTCGGAAGTGATGTCATGCTGGACAAGAATCAGAGTCCGAATAACATTTTTTCATATTCGGACTCGAGTCCGAATAATCACTTCGAAAGTTATTATCAGACTTTACAATACAAGGTAGGAAGCTCCATATGTGATTCTCAGATTTCATGGCATGATAACTAAGCAGCCTACAGTCCTACAGCTGCAGTAATCAGTGTCAGTAAAAGATTGTCCTTGCACTGACCATGCTTGTAATGAGTGGTGAAACCAAGTCCAAAGCCACACTGCCTAGCCTATAAATCCTAGAAGTTCTCCTGATTGGAGAAAAACAAAGAGATCTAGAAATCTATATCCATAATTAACGAAACTGACAAGACTCTTGGATTTAGCATATGGCCATGGCACAAAACGGAACAAACGGAGAGTGAAATCTTGAAGAAGATCCGCATCATGGACGAGTTCACAGTCCATAGCCAAGCTAAAAAGGCGTTGAACTACTCGTCCTTTTGAATTATTTTTCTGCTTCGCCTTGGCTCTCTGTTGGCAAGGCCATTGACAACCCATTCATAAGAAAAAGAATATGAACAATTCTCCTTGCCATTAGTGTACGCTTTTAAACAATACGAAGACTTACATCAAAATCTAGGCTGCTAATGGAAAGCAGACGATGCACACTGTTCTTCCAACACCAACACTGGTCGTCAGTCGTCAGCTGTGCCACGTTCAAAGAGAACTTGGTGTTACAATAAATACAAAACACAAATTTATTGTCTGCTGATTTGAGTGACCCCGTTCAGTCTTTCCTCAAAACATGTTTTTGTTTCAACAGACAGAAGTATAACTTCTCATCCTCCAGGCCTACTTGAAAATTCTAGTCAGGAAAAATAAAAATCAAGTTCTTACTTATTCTATAATGGTGGTGTTATCGGAATAAATACCTTAAAAGTTTAAAATATCAGGCAAAGTTGGCCTTTAAACTGCGACTTAGCTGGGTCAAATGATTTTAGTTGGTCTTTTGTCTCCTCCCTTGATTTCACAGCTCAGTGATGATGTACACATCCGGTCCTGGAGGAAATGGCCGCTTTGATTGAGAGGAGGAGGAATTGTGTTATGAAAGAAGAAAGACCTTCAATATTGGTTGAAACTAGATGGTCTTTGAAGTGGAAAACTCTCAGTTCTTTTTCATTTTCTGTTCCGTCTAACTTATGTAAAATGAGGATTCAAAATATTCTCATAGTTACTGCTGCTGCAATACTTTTGTCAGGCTTGTCGTTCGGTGTAATCACAACTTTCCCTCGATTCCTCCTACTGTTTCTGACAAGTGTCGGAGTTTATTCCGAGAATAATGTTAGTTTAACTGGTATGCCTCATGATTGTGTTCATGGAAATGAAGGTTCATGCCACAAAAGTGGTTATAGTTCAAACGAGTGGTGTAAAGGCAACATCCAATCCACTGACTCGCCAACAAGTAGTGCCGAAAAAGATGATTCCATTTATAAAAAGTCATCAACTTTCTATGATACGTCCATCAGTATTCGATACAAACAACGTTTTCCAGCTGGAAAAGGTATGCTTATATTTATACCATGCTAGTTTTCGATGCTGTTGGGAGAGGGATGGGTAGTAGATAGATCTAGATCTAGATTCTAGATCTACTTGAAGGGATTGTGATAGCAGAACAGTGAGTTGCCCATTTATTTTTGTCAAAGGGAGTGTCTACGTACACGGTAACCGGGCACGTAGCCTCAGGGTCTACGTACACGGTAACCGGGCACGTAGCCGCAGTGTCTACGTACACGGTAACCGGGCACGTACGGTAGCCTCAGGGTCTACGTACACGGTAACCGTCAACCGGGCGTGAAGTCTCAATGTCACGTACACGGTAACTGGGCGCATAGCCTCAATATCTACGTACACGGCAACCGGACGCCACTCATTATCTACGAACACGGTAAGCGGGTATTTAGTTTCGTGGGGGAGGGGGGGAGCCTTCAGCTAGGTACACGGTAACTGCTTTACTCCCTTCTTGACGTTGACATTAATGTTTCCTTTTTCACCGTGTAGTCTCAATGTCGCGCATACACGGTAACCGTGCCCGTAGCCTCAATATCTACGTACACGGTAACCATGTACCTAGTTTCGGGGGTGGGGGGGGGTGCGGAAGGGGGCTTGAGCTAGGTGCACGCACGGTAACTGCTTCGCTCCCTTCATGACGTTGACTTTTTTCCCTTTTCACCATGTAGTCTCATTGTCACACACACGGTAACCAGGCACATAGCCTCAATATCTACGTACACGGTAACCGGCAACCGGGCATGTAGTCTCAATGTCACATACACGGTAACCGGGCACGTAGCCTCAATATCTACGTACACGGTAACCGGCACCTCTCATTATCTACGAACATGTTAACCGGGTGCGTGTTTTGTTTCCGGGGAGGGGGGGGCTTGAGCTAGGTGCACGGTAACTGCGTCGCTCCCTTCATGACCTTGACCTTTTTCCTTTTTCACTCCGCTTTTTGTGTGTTGTGAGCGGAATGTAATTCCAAAAATGACCCCAATCTACCCCCTGTCATCTTTCCTAAGGGAGAGCAAAATGAAGTGACACTGAAAATCTGCGAATCTGGAACAGAAAGCTAAAATATAGATGTTTACAAAACATGTAATACTATCACGAGAGAGAGAGAGACAGAGAGAGAGGGGGGGGGAGAGAGAGTGAGAGAGAGAGAGAGAATCTCTTGATGAGGTCATCTCTCTTAAAACAAAGGACAATATAAAAACAAGCGGATCCTAGACTATCACCCATTCAATGAAACACGGACCTTTTGGTTAAAAAACGCGGCTTACTAGGTATGAGTATGACGGATCCCAATTCCGTACAGGGCTTGCTCCAATGCACGCTTTTCCGTAGCAGGAAGCTCTAGTAATAATCAAAATTCTAAATGCTAAAATTTGCTTCCAAGTTCAGTTTTTGTCATCCGATGTTGCCTTCAACCCCACCCCTCCCCCCGACTGTACCTTTTTAAAAAATCAATATTCCCCTATTCCGGAGCCCTATACTTCGCGCAGCGCACACGTTGAATGAACTTTAGTGACCCCGTGCGATCATTGGTACTCACAACAATGTGATGCGAAAGTACAGGTTCACTGACCGGTCACGATGTCGAGCCCGACAAGACGCTTCTTGTATAACTTTCTTTTTTTTCCGCAAGTGAAAGCACAGGACAATGATTTATTTTCCTGGTGACACAGCGTTTGTAATGCACAACCTGTATGTTACAAATGTTGCGTTGATCAGACTGCTGCCGGCAAATTTCTGGGTGGTAAAGAAAGCGAAAGTAGATCGAGCTTCGGTACCACGCATACACTTACGCTTGCCGCCAAAGAACCCTGTTCATACCTAAAACTATCTTTTGTTTTTGAAAGAGTTAGCACTTGCAACAAAATAAGTTTATATATAAGTGCCGAAGATTAGAGGTGTTAGTGTTACAAGAGAGTAACAAACACAAAAAGAAGGAAGAGAAAGATAAGGATGATAGATGTTGAATAGGAGAGAAGGAGCAGACCACACCAGAGCACCCACCAACCACCCATTAATACTATCTTTACGAACACCACACTTACTATAACACACAAAAATACATAAACACACACAGAGAGAGAGAGAGAAAGAGAGAGAGAGGAGAGAGGGGGGAAAGAGAGAGAGGGAGAGAGAGAGGGACACACACACACACACACACACACACACACACACACACACACACACACACACACACACACACACACATCATACATATACACGTGTGAATAGCCTCTAAATATATTTAATAATACTTAGCATGTTACACACACACACAAATCACACAGCATACACATTGGATAAAACGATATGAGGATAGCTTTATCGGTTGAATTTGTCAGAAGTAGACTTGACTATGACTTTGTACATGTAGTTACATTATAAACAAAAATCTCCATAGCCTCACAACGATATTCTCTCTGTCTCTAAGCACACACAAATCACACAACATACACATTGGATAAAACAATATGAAAGCTAAAAGAGCAAATAAAAAATGAATGACCCGGGACATATTAAAACTAGAGAAGACAGTCAAAATCAAACATTGAAAAGTACATCTTTAGCTATGGTCAACACCCAAAGGCTATAGTATTTGGTCTAATGCTTGCTTTTCTGCACCAAAAGGTGTGACATCATAGCATTTTGAAAACCAATATCATCTTATTTAAATCACATGGGTCTCAACTCAGAATTCTAATAAAGGAGGAACTTTCTGTGTGATCGCTACAGAAGCCCATTTTCACGAAACACCCATTATTATTATACTGTTGAACCCTAGAATGCTGAAATGAAAACCATCAATTTATCTAAGCAAGGTTATTTCACACCAATTTGAGGGTTTGTGAGATAATTTCAAGTAAGAGTCACGCACCAAATTTACAATCTTGATTACGTACAGAAAGTCAATGGTGGCGCCTGGGGTCTTGTGCGACTTATTAATATTTTCCCTTCATCATATTCGCCTGTATATATAAACTATATATATAAAAATGAATCTTGCTTTGAGCCTAGAACCAGAATATCGACTGTCATGATTCATATCATATATATAGGCCTATATAATAAACGTGAAAGACAAAAATTAATGCTCTAACTCAAAGTACAGTAGAATAGCCCAAGTAGACCTATTCAGTGTAAGAGGTGTAAGAACTGAGGGAGGGCAAGATGCAGTGATACTGAAAATCTGCTAATCTTGTACGGAAAGCTAAAATATACTGCCACCAATCCAATGAAACCACGAACATTAAAGCCGTTTTTACACAAGGCCTGCACCCACGCACACTTTACTTAGCAGAGAGCTGTAGTAGTTATCAAAATTCTAAACATTAACATATTTGCTTCCAGTTTCAGGTTTTTTTTGTCCACTGGTGTTGCGTCCAGCCCTCCCCCTATCCCCGAGTGCGTCTTTTTTTAAAAATCAATAATCCCCCCCCATCCCCCTCCACCATTCCTGAGTCCCGTACTTCACAGCGCTCAGAACGCGCGCAGGTTCATTGACCGGCCACAATGGCGAGCCCGACAAGACGCTTGTATAACTTTCTTTTCTTCATGTTGCCCCTATAAGTGACGACACAGTGACAAATATTGATTTACTTTCATGGCGACACCACGTTTGTAATGCCGAACCTGCATGTTACAATAATTGTTGCGTTATCAGACAATTACTGACAAATTTCTGGGTGGTAACGAAAGCGAATGTAAAGGCTTACTAGACGCTCTGTTATTAAATTTAGTGGGTATCATGCTGGACTATAGAGCGGTTGACCCTCGTGCGCCCTCTTCAAAAAAGCGCGAACTTTGCGAACAGAGTTAGAATCTACCCTACTTGTGTGAAAAACAATAAAAGTGACACTCTTTTTGGCTGAGTGAACTATCTCTTGAACCTTCCGGTTACCGTGTATGTAGACCCTGAGACTACGTGCCCGGTTACCGTGTACGTAGACCCTGAGACTACGTACCCGGTTACCGTGTACGTAGCCACTCCGTTTGTCAAATGAATTCGATCACATGAAGTCAAATAATAAATACTGATGACGTATTTCCGCCATCTATTTTTTTCATCTTCCGGGGTTTCCTTCACCAGTTGTCTAGATCTCACCATGGCAGGCCCGCTTTGCCGTTTAGCGCGCGATGGGCTACGTCACTAGGTTTCATCGCCAACTGCTTGGGCTGCACGCGTGTGTGTATGCACGTTCGTGTGTTTGTGTGTGTGTGTGCACCCGCTTGTTGTGTGTGTGTGTATTGTGTATACAACTTTAAGGAGAAGGTAAATTTATAGAACGAGAATTGATGAGATTGTTTATAGATCCAAAAGATAACACATTAGTACCACCAAAAAAAAACCACTGCGAGATCTAGATCTAGATATAGACTTGTTAACAATTACTGGCGAGGGAAACCCAAAAGTTTTGGCTTTGGGGGAAACCCCGAAAGATGACAAAAATAGGTGATGGAAATCTATATTTGGGCCAATCACAGAGGTGTGCTCGGTGCTCACTGTAGCTTCATGATGTAATTCGATCTGCAATCTGCATGATGATCAGAGATGGCATCAAGTTGATTGAATGATGGGTAAAAGTGCATTTTTGGTGTGTAAATTATTAAAGACTCCCTGTACAACAATAATACAATAACACGCTATTACTTGTGTTTGTAACACATTATTAGACCGAAACAACAATAACACGTTAATACTTGCATTTGTTTGTAGTGCTTTAAACGTTTGTAGTAGAATTGGGGCGAGCGGACGGACGGGTTCGTTACTCGCGGACTCAGTCAAAGCGAGCGGGTAACGGACGGCCATGAGAGCGAACTGCGAACCTCAAGACAGTTCGTTTTTTGGGTCCACTCCACAATTTGACTCGCTCAGCGAGCGGACTGTGGACCTCAAGCCTCAAGTCAGTTCGTTTTCTAGGGTCCGCTCCCCAATTTTATTCCCTGGGCGGACGGGCGAACAGATGAACTCTAGCTGACAAGATGCTCGACGCGAGGTTAGGCCCACGGTCTATTGTTTGATAATTATTTTAGGCCTAATGTTTCAAACCACTAGCGGTGCCACAGGGAGTGAGAGAGGCTGGTGACGTAGTACTATGTGTGTAGCCTTTCACCTTGTGAGTGGGCACTCTGTACGTTCCAATTATCTCAAAGTCTGGGGGTGGGGAGAAATTTCCGCCTTGAACGTCGAGCTACAATGTGAGGCAGGAGAGTGATAAAAAATTGGGGGGGGGGGCGTGGGGTTGTAAGTTGTATGCAATGGAAGGAGTCGTTCCCGTCTGTCCGTCCGCCCGCTCGAATGCATGGAGTCTCTCAGTCCGCCCGTCCGCTGGCTCGCTAAACGAACTGTTGTCTCTGTCTGATGTGTAGCGAGTAGCGAACTACTCTTCACAAGCGGACGGTTCGTTACCCATCCGCTTGTTTGCAGGTAGTGCCAGCGAGTAGTTCGTTACTCGTGGACGCTAATTTTGCGAGCCCGACCCAACCCTAGTTTGTAGCACATTAATAGGGGATAATTGTCAGCTATAGTCAATGGCCAGCTCTATTCAGACTCGAATATAATTTTTATCTATTTGGACTCGAGTCCGAATATGGGTTTTATCTATTCGGACTCGGGTCGGAAAAAAGGTTTCATTTATTCGGACTCAGCTTCTAAGTGAGTATGTAGGTGTAAGGAGGTTACATTATATAAATGTCGTAGGTGCATTCTGCGTAAAACCAGAATTAGAATTAGAATTGCCTACTCATCATCATCATCATTGCCTTTCTCACCCTGGGTCAGGATATAGGCCACGAACATACACTCTCCACCTTTCCCTATCCTGTGCTAGTCGCTAGATGTCACTCCACGTTTTCCCACTTTTCTGTACATCCGTTTCCGTGACTCTTCTCCAGATTCCAGTAGTAGAATTGCCTACTAGGACTGTGTAATTGTGAAAAAAAAGTCAAAGGACTGCACTCTCATTAGATCTACCCTATGGCAGTGTCTAAGTACGCGGTAACCGACAACTCTGGGTCTTTCCACAACCACTATAGCATCATCGTTACTTCCACCACCATTTGTCTTTCCACGTGTTTACTTTCATTTTGTGGGTGCTCTGGTGTGGTTCGCTTCTTCTTTCCCATCAAACATCTATCGTCCTTATCTCCCCTCCTTCTTTTTTATATATTTCAATTTGTTACTCTCTTGTAACACCTCTAATCTTCTGGCGCTCATATGACCTTATATGCAGTTGTGAGCGCCGTAAAACCTCTACTAAAACAAACAAACTTTCATTTTGTTGTGTGTTATAGTTTTTCTGTAATTTTTTTTTTATTACATAATACAAAATTGACAGCTGCGGCGTCTTCCCAACACATCTTCCCCCCGCAAGCCGAGAGTGCAAGATCGTTACGAGCAATCTCATTGGTCGACATAATTAACTTTGCCTCCGGCAAGGTCAGCTCAACTTAGTCGTTCTGTTCATACTAACTAATGATGCAGGGATGGTCTGTTTAGTCTGAATAGTCACTTCGATAGTCAATAGTCCTTAGTATGACAAGAGACTCCTCGTCATGAAACCTGTTGCGAAAAACAGACTCTGTAAGCCGATAAAATGAGAGGAAAGAAATTACGTAAGACTCGGCTGTGCACACATGAGATTTTCTGCTTTCCACTTTCATTCATCTTTTTGCTCTCACACCATCATGTACATCAATGGAGCTAACCTTGTTAATTGTTCTTTTTTTCCTTGATTTTTTCTCTATAAATTCTTTATATTTGGGGCTTTCACGGACATGACGAATTATGGAAATCTCGAACACTATTTCCAATCCCTGATGAATTTGAGTTACCTATGTCAGACTGTTTATTATATGTACCCCCCCCCCAAATAGACCCACCTCTTCGTGGTGGGGGGGATTAGTACTCTTCGAATAGGAAAAGAAAAAGAGGAAGCTAACGGGTCAAGGGGTGACCCCGAAAAGAGACATATTACTTTACTATGTTTCTTACTCTTTCTATTTATTGTCTTTATTGTTTTATTTTATTACATTTATTAACTTCTCTTTTCTCCTCTCTCCATCGACAACCTTTCTTTGACCTGGAGTTTGGACGGGTATTGGTGGGGTGGAAAGCAGAGGTTCATTGTCAGCACTGTACTGGATGTGACTTTACGTAGAGAATACCCAGCTACATACATGTATTAAGCATGCACTTATCGGAGAGCCCTATGACTGCGGAGAAGGTGCAGAGACCATTTGCGTCTTGCTTGTTGACAACATTTACCCTCTGGGATCTGCCATGCCTTCCCCTGCCCCCATCTCTCGGATGAGAGGACTTGGTTGCTCGGGTAGGAGGGGGGGAAATCTAGCTTCCAATTGGTATTATTATTTACTATTCGTATTATTATTATTATATTATAATTTTTGTATTTCAGCAACACACAGCAACTATGCTCTTAATAGCGTCTTTCTCTTCTTTATCTCCTCAAACAACTTCTCAATATAATACAACAGACACCAACATACCCATTCATTTTTCTTACAATCTCTCTGTGATGGAGTTGGGTTTTTGTTTGTGGCATTGCACCTACAGTCACTGCTTTATCTCCTACCCCGGGATGGAAGGAAAATCACAGAACCACCAGTTTTAGATGCTATTCACAAATGATAGAATCCCATACGAGCTGAGACGCCGCCTCGGTTTATTATATGTATATATATATATATATTATTAAACTTATAACCCCACCCCATTCCACAAGCAATCCAGGAATGGAGCAAAGTATGTCTTGCCAATTAGTTTGTTATTGAGTTGCCCATGTCTCTTTAGACAGTTGAATTGTTTTGTATCTATATATGATATATCAGTGAATTTTTTTAGGAGGAGGGAGGTGGTTGACTTGATTACTTGATTACTTGATCCTGAGAACAACATCCTAGCACTCCAAGCATTGCCATATACGTGCTGTGCTCCCCGCTCTGATGTCCTCCTCAGAGTCCACCTGCTGATTGTTCAGGTGTTCATTTGGTTATTTAGATCTAATAGCCCGTCTTTCCTTCCCCTGCACCATGCTTGTTCTGCCACTTTCGCTGAAGACACCCAGAGTTTGTTCTTAAGTTAGTGTAGACGTTACAGTTTTATCTAGTTTGGTCTCCTTTAACCTCTTCGCTGACGCGCTTGTAGAATTTACAGGCCTGAACGGTGTATCGCTGTGCCTATTGCCCGTAGAATTTACAGGAGTGTGACAGAGATTGTTTTGAAAGCAATTATAAGGGAAGTTACTGCTAAAATCTTGTAATTAATCTTGAGGTACCTTCCCTTATGTTTACCACAGTTTTCCCCCCATTTGAAAGCGTTAGATTCAGATTTCAGCTCGAAGAGAAGATTAGAAATAGACGTAAATCTAGATCTAACACATCTACCGTACAAAATTATTTATTGGCAGTAAACACAGATGGGCTTACAATAACTTACATGTATATTTATGGATTGTATGGGCGTTGTATAAGGTAGGAAAAGCCTCTTGTCACTTTTTCTTTACCTGCAAACACTCACACAACATGTATTCCCATTTTTTTTGTCTCCGTTTATCATGACTTGGCATCATGTTACTAACTCCCTCCTTCTCTCTCTTTCAATGAAATCCCCCTAAAATTATATCAATAGAGAAACTTCGTTCAATGCTGAATGTACATGAAGAAATTCAGGAGGAAATATTCATATAAAAAAGTTATGGGAGGTAGAGTGGGGTCACCCCTGAGCTGCCTTGGTTCATTGGATTGCCCGCGGCACAGGGACTTATTTACCTGCAGCATTGAAGGGGTTAAAGAACTTAAATAGACTTCATTTCTAGAACTTGAATATTCACTTTGACTCATGATTCAATACCCCCCTTATCTTTTCTCCAAAATTCTTTATTTGTCTGCACATCAATGATATTTTCAATTTGCCCTCTTGTTTCAGATGTGAAAAGAGAAGCTGTAGCTGCAATGAACATTGCCCTAGATCTTCAGAACCAGGGTAAAACTGAGAAAGCCATGAAGATTTTCCAGCATGCAGTTGCCCTTGACCCTTCTCATTCAGACATTTTGACAGCTTTTGGAGAATTTTTAGAGTGGCATGTGAAAGACATTGTCAAGGCTGATCACATGTACCACGTAGCGCTGGAAAACTGCCCAGAACATGGGAGGGCTTTACAAAATAGAGAGAGGACAGGTAAATAACTAAATAGCCCTTAATAGAGGTAGCTATTTTAAGGATGAAGACGAAATATTTACTCTCTGCATGTATCAAGATTGGGTATCAAGATTGGACAGATTCAGAATAGAATAGGGATAGGACAGGTAAATAAATAGATTCTGCATAATTTATTTATGTCCCATCTACTCACTGTCTGGAGTGTAGATGGGTACTACAAAGTAAGAGAGGACAGAGGTAAATAATTAAATAAGTCTATTTTAATTTTTATAATGAAGGTGAATGGTGTACTATTTTTTTTTTTTTTTAAACTGAACAGATACTGAAATTTCAGTACCTGTGATGTAATGATGTAGGTTCTTCACTGGGAGATGTAAAACATTTCCAAGCAAGATGTAGAAACTTTTTTCACTGGATGATTTCCTGATAAGGATAGGGGTATGCATATCCTGTAATGTAAAGATGGATTTTTGTTTATCTTATATTTTAACTAGTATGTGCAATTTGGCTGCGTGTGTTGCTTGTCTAAACATGTGGTTTATTGTACTGGTGTTGCAAGAATAAATTCCAGTAAGTCTCCAGAAGAAGGAGAGTGAGAGAAAAGAAAAGTTTATGTAAATGTAGAAGAAACAGTATTCATTGCTTTTGTACGTTGTACTCAAGGAGGACTATAGAGTTTGTCTTTGTCGTGTTACCCAATGGAATACAAGTCTTAGATTTCTGTAATGGCCACTGTAGTGTCCTTTGACTGTTTAAGTCTTTTTTTTTTTTTGGTCTCTAATTTGTGACTTCAGTTACAACACTGTGTATCCCTTAGTGCCTAGAGTGGCCTGGAGAGATTAAACAAATCAACATTGTTGTCTCAAATTAAGAATAACATTTATTATTGAAACTTCTACAAAAGTGCCTAATGGAAAGTAACATGTCTGAATGAAATTGAGCTGAGTTTTTCCGCATTCTTTTGGTATGTGCAGAGCTATCAGTGTTTTTTTCATACCATTTCATATTATATCTGTCAACACTGTGCTATACCATGATTCCCTGGAAATTGAGATTGTTTCAGAATGGTGTCAGATCTGCTGGGATAATAATGTAAATGATAATGAAAAGCGCGTAGAGCTTGCTGCTGTTTGTGGGAATTTGCGCTATACAAATTGCTACCTAAAACATAACACATCACTTTGATCTTGTTACGTGAAAAGATGTACCTGCTCTCCAATGAGTTTACTGCCTTTGGTGCATTATTATAATCTGAAAGACTGTTATACTGTCTTAAGTGCCTTATCACATAATTTTCCATGATTTATTTTCTTTATCTTCATCTTATCGTGTAAAAGATTTCATATTTATTGTTTTTAAATCTGTTAGTTTCCACTTTATATATGATTGTGCACCTTTGGTTAACCCTAATTTAGTCTTGCAATCTTTTCATAAATATCTACTTGTATTTTTCTTGTTCCTTGCATGTAATGCAAGACCTGTGCCTCTTTAGTTTGAAATGTTGGAAATATTATTTAATGAATGTGAATGTCTCTTAGGTTCTTATACTTCACGTTCTATTTTTATGTCAGGTCCTATTGTGGAAGAAATTGATCAAGCCCTCTTCAGTCGCATCGACCAGAAACGCTCACTGCTGTACACCATACCACACCATCATCCAGGTCTAAGGCGGGCAAAAAAGGAAGCTTACTTTGCCCATATTTATCACACCAACGCCATCGAGGGAAATACCCTCACTCTCGCTCAGACGAGGTCTATTGTGGAGACACGAATTGCGGTTGGGGGAAAAAGTTTGCGAGAACAAAATGAAGTTCTTGGTTTGGACTCTGCTCTGAGTTTCATAAACAGGTCAGTGAAAGATAGCTGACTCTTTGGAATTTATCTCAGTTAATTGAATCTTTTTGTTGATTGTCTAAAAAGTACTTCAAAGTTTTTACATAAAGATGGTCGCAATGAATAGATGATTGTAAATCTTATACGCCCCCAGTGACAAATTTTAGGTCATAATGGAGTCTTGCTGCTTTGACTCAGCTTAGTGTACGCGTCCTTCAAAATAAAGAAAATTTCCAGAGCGGCCTATGTACGACATTTTGCATGGTGTTGAACCGACTCAAGACCATCCACGTCCACCGCATCAGACCAGCTAGGCCTAACCTATTTTTGACCCAATGTGTTATGATTATGAGAACAACAGACTGCACAGGCACAGGCAATTTATTTATTTACATTTTCAGCTTTGTTTCTGGTGTGTAAATCTATAGAGACATTTGTATAGGTCTAGACGAGACTGCCTTTTTAAAAAAAACTACGCAGAGGCTTGAGTCTATCCCTGGCATACATTTGAGCTCATACGAGCCAGGTGACCGAGGTATTGCGCGAAGGTTAGATCTAGCCTATTTTTAGCTCTCAAGAACGAAGTAATCTAGATCACGTGATTTATTTCCATTTTTTTGCTGTTTTTCAGCACAAATCTACTATTGTACAACATATAATAATGAGATACAACTATGTTGATACTGTAAAGTGCAATGAAGAAGCAAAAATGTGCTTAAAGATGCAAATTTCCTTCCAAAATGTGTCGAATCGAGGCTTTCTTAGTCACCTGTACGACTGACGAAAAAACGAGCATGCTGGAAAATCGCGTAGTCAGGCAAAAGAAGTCAGTGATGGACGAAAACGAGCTCATTTGCCTATGAGCCTGGCCTGCTCCCACCAAAAAATTCCAGTGGACTTGGGGGCCTTATCAAGGCCAACCTGGGCTGAGTGCAATGAAGCATTCCAGCAGACAGATGAAGGTACTGGGTAAAGTAATTCCCATCCAAAGAAATGGAACTGGTGTCTTTTGCATGCATCGGCACTGCCTAGCGATTATACCACAGACACGCATATGAGGAGTAATCCAGCTTTGTTATCTTTCTGGGTTCTTTTACAAACTCAAATAGCATATTTAATGCTTGTCAAAAGCAAATACCCCATCGCCCACAGAAAACTCTAACATGTTGTAGATTGACAAATGTGTTTAATACATGTATAATTCGGGTAAACTAAGAGCGATATTGGTGAAAATAAAGGGAAGTAATTGTGACTGTACTGTGGTTGGAGAGCAAATTACTTTCACGATTTTATTGTTGCAGATTCTCTGCTCATAGGATTTTGAGTTATACTGTGTCCATGTCTCTTTTTGATCCTGTTTAACCATCTGTTGCATATGAAGTCACGGCAATATTCCTTTGCGATGTCATCTGCTTTTGTCGTTAGGATGGAACCAGAGATAGGAAAGGACATGGCACGTGCTTGCTGGAATCATTGAAACAATATCAGTCAGCATGATATGTTTTCAGATTTGGCAAAACAGGCTCATTTTCTGTATGGTTGATATCGAATGCTGGCTTTTTTTATTTTATCTGGATTTTTTTTTTTTATGTGGAAAGCTTTTTGGGGGATACCAAAGCCCTTATAACACTGTAGAACATGACGTCTTGTCACCTTCTGTGAAAATCTGTTGTTAGGTTTCTATTGTCAAACAATTTTTCATTAAGGTTTCATTTCTCTGCCATCACAAAAAGTACCCGGTATCAGTAAAAGGATAGATAGTGCATGCGCTTGCACTGTGTCAAAGCAAGAGAAAAGAATATTGTTGCTGATGAGCTTTCAACTAAAAATTTAAATTGCTGTTTTGTAATGTCATGATCTTGAAAATGTAACCTACACTAGTCAGAGCTGGACACTCATCCCTCTTACGTATTCTGTGTAATCACTTCCAGATCTATAACATCACTTTCAAACAACCAATCACACGCATACACACAAATGCATACTAAGACCAATATGATTCACACACAGTACAGTCCAATGCGGTATGATACTGTCTGGTCTTCAATTACATTCCACCACCCAGCACCCACTCTCACATGGCTAGATTCCAGTAAGTTCTAGTGCCTTACACACACTACAGGTAATGTCCTATGATGTGTCTCAGTGCCAGCAGTGTGTGTGTGTATATATATATATATATATATATGTGTGTGTATCATGCTGTGTAGGGGCGAACCTGATGGCCTCATGTAACCTGATACTCTCAATGATGATGAATATTTTGTTTTCCATCGTGCTGCAGGGCGATTGGCTTTCAAGACAATCTAGAGGAAAGATTTGATGATGGAGGTTTTTTTTTTAAAGATGAAATGTTCAACGAATCTACTGTTGAGAAAACGGTGTTGCTAATGTAAAGAAGATATAGTGGCTCTGTCAGGCAATGGCATATTGTACGAGCAATCTATGATTTTAAGTTTTGCAAGTTCACGTTATCTGTGCCCGACTGTACTATAAATCAGCTTAGACCACTGTGAATAAGATATTGAAAAATGACCCATTTTTTTTCCATAATTTTTCAATTTGTAATTGATCTATGGTTCCTTAATGTTATTCTGGATAATGATGACAGATACTGTGTATGACTTGTAATTATGGTGTCTATTCTCCTTTCTTGTTTCAGCACTCTTGTTGGCCGCATTGGTCGACTCACGCTTCAGGACATACTGGACATTCATATCCGTGTCCTCGGATTTGTGGATCCCACAGAGGCTGGAAGATTCCGTGCCAACCAGGTAGTCTTCAGAGCTATATGTTGCGCTTTAGGAATGAGAGATCCACCTACATGGGACTCATTGAAACCTTAAACTTCTCAACTAAATTAAAAGTCAGCCCTGACAAATCCGTTTTATTCAAAGGTTTATTGTATTAATTGATTCCTAAACTAAAGACCTTTGTGTCCTTGCTTACCACTGATTTGTTTGTTTTTAATTTAGAAAATTCTTGTGTGGTTTCTGAATGAAATATCTAGCAGAGTGACACCATGATGGACGAGATCTACATATATCTGGTTCATGATATTGCTACTAATTTACTAGTCCTTTTTTGGTTATATGTTCTAATATAGGACCTGATAAATGTGCTTTCTCTTTAAATCTTTTAAACATTTATTTCTGCTGTTAAAAGTTCAGACCCTTAAATTGTTTTTCCGTCTGCAACAGACACTGTGATGACTGGCTTTCAAAGCGCCTGTCCACTTCACAGCAACCCAGACCAGAGCAACCTAAGCTTGTGTAACAGAATGTTCCTATATAAAAGCTGCGTTTAACAGCTACTTTTCCTCTAACAGCTACCATTGTTGCCATAAATTGTCTCACAAAATGTTTGTTTGACCATCAAAACTGTGAATACCAACACTAACCTATGATTTCAGCTTCCGTGCATCCCTCCTCTCTTCGTAATCTTCTCACAACACCAACTCAAACCAAAAGATACACTACACGGAGTACAGGAGCTCTTCAGTTCACACCTTTTTGCAAAGAGCCGCCTCCCTTTAAGAGTTTTCCAGTTTGGGGGGTGGGGGGGAGTGGTGTCTTGACTACTGTGCGTAACATTACCACCCTGTGATCGAGCATTGGTTCACGTAAAAGAACAAGCTCTTGTAGAACCTCAGTCACTACAATGCCTATGCTCTCTGTGTAAAGTGTAAAGGATACGACTGCAAGTTTCCAGCTTCTGTAAACCAAATTTTATGAACTAGTGTATGCAAATGGGTTCTTTAGATGAAAGTATATATCTATAATATAATATGCATGCAAGGCACTCAATTTTTTCATTTTTAATCTTTGTCTTACACTTCTTTTCCCAGGTGTATGTCGGCGACTTCATCCCCCCTGCCGCTGGAGAGCTCAAAGATCTGATGGATCAACTGGTGGAGTGGCTCAACTCAGAGGAAGCCTCGAACCTCCACCCCATCGAGTTTGCAGCCCTGGCACACTACCGACTGGTCACCATCCATCCGTTTTACGATGGCAATGGACGTACGTCACGTCTGCTCATGAACTTGATCCTGATGCAAGCTGGATTCCCACCAGTCTCCATTGAGGTCAATGACCGACTGACTTATTATGAGACGTTGGAACAGGGGAACAAGGGAGATATCAGACCTTTCATCAGGTTCATCGCAAAATGTGCGGAGAGAACTCTAGATGGTTATTTGTTCGTCACGATGGAGGATTACGAGCTGACATTACCATCTTCACATAGAACTCGTGCTTCTGGATCCAAAGACAGAGTTATATACGTCGATAATGAATTATACGAAGATGGAGACAGTGTAAATAGCAGCTCCGAAGAGGATGGTGGTTCTTGATGATGGCTTTTTTCTTGTGTGAATTGTTTTGTGATGTTGTATGAATTACCAATTCTATTTATTTATTTAACCTTTAACTTCCATATTTTGGGGCATTTCAAAAGTACCCATGATATATACTTTTGGAAAGGTGAAGGAATATTTTATCTTTCAATAGATCTCACACACATGCACACAAATGCACCCCCCCCCACCCCTCTCCACCTCTATCTCATTACCTCTTGATGTCTTTGCTTTATGCTCAGTGACATGAAGTTATTCTTGATTTAGTCCCTTCTTTTCTTTTAAGTCTGATAATTAAATCGTCTATAAAATGTATTCATACAGTTATTTGGTTGGAGGCAGAGGGAGCATCAATTCAAAGAAATAAATAATTAATAGAGATCTCTGGCACAAATATTCAGAATGTGTGAGAAGTCAATCAAGCTAAAATCCGAATTCCTAGTTGAATTTTCTTCAGTTTTATGAAATTGATCACTCATTGTCTTTCAACATATATAAATATGTGTGCTTGAAGAAATGCTCCGAAAGTTGGAAATTGGAGGATTTTGAGAAAAGGGCAGTTTTTAATAGTCAATGCAATGCTGAGTCCACTGCTTTAAAATTTCTTTAGAAAGCTCAAGTAGTTTCAAGACACAGCGCAGTTTGTGAGAGAGGGAGCAAAAACTAATTTTTTTAATGACCTCAAAGTTTTATATTTTGTTCCCCTTTGTTGTTAAGATAATTAGTTTTGGAATATAAAGCAGTCAAATAAAGCGACAGCTTTTTAGTATGTGCTGTAGAAAAGGTTATGCCAATGTTTTTATAAGGAATTACTTTTTTGGTCTCAGATGACCTGTTTGGTCTTTCGGCCCCTGACTCAAAACCAACACTGTCGACTTTTGGGTTATTTCTCTAAACATGCACACATGCATGTTCATTGTTCATTACTCTTTGTAAAAGGAAATCTCACTGAATAATTGCTGAATTTTCTTTGTACATAATTGCACGATATGGAATAGCTAGTTGTCTTCCAACTACACAGGGCGATGGGTATCAAAATTCAACGGTTGTATCTTATATGTTTATGTTGTAAGTCTGAAGGATAGAAATTAGTACTTGTTATCGTCTCATAAGATCGCAGACTCTGGTGGTGTTGTGTGGAATTCCTACCTCCTGACGACGGCACTGCAGACAGATGACTGTCATTTACTTTTTGTCTGAGAAATAAAACTACACGCATAGACCATTTCAAGTGCAATATATTTCGTCTCTCGTCATCCCTTGTGTTTTGTCTTGAGCTATGATATATTATATGTATCTATATTATATCTATATCCTCATTTTTACAAGAAAAGGAATGATTCTTTTGAACCCTGCTTTACAGGCTGAGTAACAGTAAGGTATAGCAGCTTCCCTCACCTTCCCCCCCTCCCCCCCCCTCCCCCCAGGTTTGAACCTAGGATACAACTTCTGGGGTTCAGTGGGGTGGAAGCTATGTCTTACAGGAACAGGAAACAGCGGGTTGTGAATGTCAAGATATCTGAAAACATGAGGGGTTGTACTTTTCCATAGAAATATTTAGTTAAATGTTCATTTTTGTTTCGACGGGGACAATGTAAAGTTTCTTCAGGAAAATGTTACAAACTTTGTGAGTTCGTCTATTTCAGCTGGAGTCTGAGCTGATGTGATTATGAATTCTTTGTCAAATCTTCAAGAAATCTGTTAATTTTTTAACGATAAAAACTATATTGTTGTGATACTGGGCTGAGGTGCATGACACGTATTTCTGTATGGCAACAAGACTTCACCTTTGTGTCATTATCTGTTTTTCTTCTTTACCTGATATAAAAACCAAAGTAACAACAAAACAAACAAATAAAGAAGAGATTGAGGAATATTGTTTTAGACTGATTTGTGGATTAAAATGTTTCCTCTCTCTTTACCAGCATCAACGGTGCAGTGGTCAGTCTCTTTGCATAGCCCACAGAAGATATGATTTTGAATGTGACTTGGTGAAATTATTTTATTGAGTGCCTTCGTCTGTCTTATGGGACACTGTATTTCACTCAGCTGACCCTGACATGCAAGTTGTTAGAAGGGTCCACCTCCAGAATTATCTGAATTGTGTCAATTAGAATGGAAAACCTTTACAATTAAAAAATATCCTTTGTTTTTGTTTTCTGTCCACTGTTAGTACAAGGATTGATCCATCCATCAGTCTGTTACATTACTTTTGAGATTTTCAGATAATGATATTATGTCAGCAGGTGTTGGTTGTGTCTGTTTGTATTCACATGTCATCATCATGTCAATGTACTTTGCTTTACTCAAACTAAGCTGACTAATACGTAGGCCAGTATATTATGTGTAGAATAAATGGCTATGAAGATTCCTGTGTTGAAAGTAGAACTGTGGAGGGGAGAGTGCTAGTACAACGTGTTGAAAGAAGATGCAGGTTCTAGCAGTGGCTTGCTTGAGTCATGTTATATAGATTCTGAGGCCATGTGTTCATACGAGGCTTCTCTCGAGCTGTCTAGTCATCATTTTCTTGGTCATCTTCTTTTTCTTCCGGAGAAGGTAGTTTTCTAGGTTCTCCAGCCACTTGGCTCGGTCCTCTCAGCAATGACAGCTAAATTGGGAGGTTCCACCTCTTTCATAACTTTCCAATGTCAGAAATGTCGTTATACCTTTTTTATTTCAATATTTTGGAAGGCCCTATCTGTTCTGTGTTAGGGCCATTCTATTAAAAGCGATTTGCAGCGACACATTTAAAGCAAACATGATGACCTGTTAATTATATTCTAAGCAGTAATAGAGACATTGTTTTTCGTTTTTTGTTGTTTGTTTTTGTGGAGGTTTGGGGGGGAGGGTTGCCAGAGAGAACTTTTAAATGACTTACTCTACATTCTAACCAGTAACTTACTTTGAATGAATCTATAGGTATGCACAAACCCTTTGGGATGTTTTCAAAAGTAATGTCAGTATGGTGACTCATGTATTATGGGATGGCCCTGTTTGTGGACAACCTCTTGAAATTTCGTCTTTCATCTCATGAAGCATATACTTTTGCTCCTACTGTGTTATGTAAATATTTCTGTTGACATGAATAGTTTATGAGCTTTATGTTCTTTGCTTTATGTTGACCGTAACAGACTGAAGGTTGTTGCTGTGATACAGGGTGACAGAATGGAATAAGATCGGGGGAAGAGAAAGAGGAGAAAGGATGGGAGAAAGAGAGTGAAAAAAATGATGGGTGAAAGTGGGGAAGAATGAGAGAAAGAAGTTTGGAGTAGTATGGTCCCATTGATTGAGTTCTTTTTTTTTTACTTGTTTGAAATGCGTAGCAGAAGTATCTTCTTTCTAATGGTAAGGGGTATTTCTTCAAGGGTTATCAATGTTCCAATCTGTTGCGATTTAGCCAGGTATAGCTGTGTCACCTGTTAAAAATTTTTAGAGGATGATGTTGGGGTAGGTGGACAAGAGGTTGTAGGAATGCCGATGTACTCCTTTCAGCACTCAGAGCTGGTTTGTAGACAATAGTGCATACTTTAAGCCCCACTTTTCATGGTTAGTAGGCCTATATATGCAAGCATGTCACATTGACCAAAATATTATTTAAGGAAAAGAATAATGGGAAATTTTTGGGGGAACGAACACTGTTCTTGCTAAGAAAATAATCATTGAGAATCTGAACAAAAGTGAATTCTGATCCTGAAGAGAGATGTGATGGTGTTAAAATGAAAGTAACAGTGTCAAGACAACATTGATCACCGTAATTTACAATCTCAAATTTTGTTGATACAAGATTTTTGCTTTATACTTGCAGTTTCTAAACAAGTATCTCATACACAATAGTTCATTGTGTTTTCCATGTTTTTTTGGTAGGGGTATTGTGAAGATATTTTTTCACTATTTTTTTTTTAACCAAGGAAGTTATGTTGCCATGATTGTCACAGCTTTGACCGAGACTTGAGTAAGCAGTTGGAGGGTGCCCCTGGTAGGTCTATATTTCTTTACTTTCCTTCTGTTACTTTTGTCTATCTTGCCTTTTCTATCCATTATACGACTGTAACTGGATTGCTGTGTTTCTCTTTACTCAGCTTATTCAGTAAGACAAAACTGTTGGAAATCCATGTGTTCATGCTGTTGTTGGCCACAGGCTGTGAGTGTGAGTAGCTGACATTGCCCAAACATAAACTGTGTGCTATCTTATACCAACTCAAATTTTCCAACTTTGGGGGTTTTTTTTAATTGTAGCTGTAGTATAAAATCTTCCCCTAGAGCTCGAAATAATTACGGCTAATGCTTATGTTCTGTTACATTTCAGTTCATATAGCTTTTAAAAAAATCTTCCCCTAGAGTGTGTCTTTAGGCCATTCCCAAAGGGGGGACATTTCTCGTTCAAGCATAGTAGAATTGTAAATGGGCTGACTCATGTCACGCTCATAACTGTGTCTGATCTACAACAGGGAACTGCTGCTTTTTCTTTCCTGATCCTTACTATTGTCATTTTCCTCTACTTCTTTTGTATGTTTGTCACTCTCTTGTGACCTGCTATTTCTGGGGGTACCTCGATAGTCGAAGCTGACCTTGTGCTGTTGAAACTAGAGAGGTGAGCAGTCTAAGTCTGATTCCCTGTAAAGACTTCTCTGTTGACACCCGCCCCTTTGCGCTCATATGACCTTATGCAGTTGCGAGCGCCGTAAAACCCTCTACTATTAAAAAGTATTCCCCTAGAGCTAAAAATAATTACTGTAAATGTCTATGTTCTCTTGAATTTCAGTTTGTTTGTACTAACCCTGGATTTCATGAGTGGAACTCTGTGTTTTCAGAGAGATTTACCCAAAACTGGAATAATGGAGTTCGTTCAGGATAGCATTAAGCTCACCAAATATCCATTTGTAGTACCTTCATAATTTTTTTTCATCCAGTCAAATTAATTTCTGTAGATTACATTCAAGAATTACTAGGAATAAATCAGATCTCTGTGTAGATTTCAAATTTTTCTGAGTTAAACTATTTGTCTTCAAAGGTGGGGTTGTGATCATTGCAGATGGTACATGTTCATAGCTGCTCCCCCTTTTCCCAGGATATGCTTCAAATTCCATCTGCTTACAGTCCCAGTTCAAATCTGGTCGGAGATCCATCGAGCAGAACCACACAGGTTGTGGAAGTTTTCTGTTTCCCTCATGCCCTCCATGTCCCTCTCTCTTACAAGTGTGTGAAAATTGCATTCCGTCTCCCCAACTTGTCAACCGCTCCAGTACAGAGGCCGGGACAATGCGCAGATCAAGCGTCAATGAATCCCCACCCCACCCCCACCCCCACCCCAACTTTCGCAGCCAGTTTGTCAGCCCTTTGTTGCCTTTCACCTCTGGGTGGCTGGGGTAGAAGATAAGTACACTCTCGCCTTACTTGCTTTCTTTACTGTTCAGTTGGTGCTCTGGTGTGGTCTGCTTCTTTTTTCCTATCAAAGTAATCAAACTTCTATCATTCTTATCCCTCTTCCTTCTTTTCTTTGTATGAATTTCTCTAGTAACACCTCTAATCTTCAGCATGTATGTGACCTATTTGTGTTGCAGGTGCTTTAATACTCTTGTTAAAACTTAGAGAAAGAAATTGGCCTCACATTGAGGTCAAAACCCAGCAGATTGATGTCAGTGCTTGAAGACTGATGAAACTGAGAAGCACAAACCAGCATCTTCAGTGTAATTGTTAAGCTCTTCCCCATTAAGAGCAGTGGATATGTGAATTTGATTTCCAAGTGTCAATGGACAAGTAGACTTAATCCAGCATAATGTACTCTTTGTGTTTGAAAAATTGGAGATGTTTCTGAAATATGAGTGAGGAGTTGGAGGGTGCCAATGACAATTCTCATCTTCTTTTCTTTCCTTCTGTTTTTTCTGTCTGTTTATCATGCTTTCTTTCCTGCTCTAAATGACCATTGTCATATCGGTATACTTCTCTTTACTCTAGCTCAAAATGTAAATACGAGCGTGTTTGTTGATTTTGACTGTGATATCATTTATACAACTTGTTCTTTTGGCTATGTTGTTACTAATGCTGTTTGCAAAAGGGGTATGTTTGTACTCTATTCATTATAGAGAAAATGCCATTGTTTTGGATGGTTGAAATCCTATCTTTAGTTTCTTCTGATTGTGCACATCATCCGCCACCTGTTCAGCTGAACGAAGCCTCAAATTTTGAAAAAAAAAGTTTATTATTGCAGTTTCTCAATCTGTGTGTCACAAGTATCAGTTATATGTGTTGAGAAATATTTTGTCAAAATTCAAATTCTAATTGCGGAAAAAGAAGAGGGAAAAAGATGCATAATGTAAGTGTAGTTGTTAAAAGAAATTATAGCAGTTATTTTCTCTTTCCTGAATTTTTGGTTCTGAACTTACAACAGTTGAACAGCTTGCCGATGACAAAAATTCATGTACATGTATTAACATGTTTGTTGCATTATGTAAACATTATCTCAATATTTCTCAAGAATTCTCAAGAAAATTGTCTTGTGGTGCTCTTTTGACAATTAATAAAAATAATATATTATTAATTATTTTATGGCACAAGGCATTTTGTGGTATATTATATATATACTTATAGTTTTGTGGTATTTGGAAAGATTTTGATCAGAAGTTTTCTGAGCCAGAAGGATTTAGAATGGATACTTTATTACAGTCGGGATAATATGGAAGTATACTGAGACAAACATTTGTGAGGCAGCGTGGTGAATCAGGCTCTTGTCAAAATAATCAAAGATAAGAAACTTGCATTTTTCCGCAGGTTTGTGAATTTTTATCAAATTTTTTTTTTTCGGCTCAACACATTTCATGCCCATAAAAAAACTAATTTGTGTGGGTTTTTCTTAAAAATGTTGATTAAAGGCACAAAAAAAGTAAATTTTCAGTTACCACGGACTCTAAAGTTATGGAAATAACTAATCTTTGGAGGCCATTTTCTCACTAATTTTGCCTCTGAAAACAGATGACCCCCACCTCCTTCATTCGTAAATATCTCGACTTGTTTTCAAGGTAAATGGATATTTTTTTTCATCCGAATAAAGACAAGTGAACAAGCTTTAACTTTAAGATGATATCAATAACTCTACATGCCCAAAAATTGACGAGAACCTGATTCCACCACACTGCCTCACATTTTGTCAGTTAAGGGAATTTTTAAGTGAAAGTTTTGAAAGGAGACTAAAGAGATAATTTGGCGGTGGTGGGATGGAAGTACTTTAGGATGTAGAATTTTAATTTATTAAGATGCAAGTGTATGGAAATAAAAATGAAAGTGTTTAAGGGTGGAAATTTTAAAAAATGGAAGATAATCGTGAGACTCGCAAAAGAAACGGGTATCTCAAAATTTCAGTACCTTAGTGAAAAGTAGATTAGAACGGATCATTTCTCATTTTTTAAAATGACAGTAACAGTATGTGTTGAGTTCCATTTTGTGAAATGAAAGCCTATATGGCATAAATGGAAAACTGAAAGGTTTTGAGAAAAGAGGACTGTTAATTAATGAAGATTTTGTGAGATTAAACTTTGTGGGGTAATTTATTTGTGAAAGAAATATTTGGAAGAGGGGTGAGACAGGTGTATTGTATTTAGATGTATAGAGTATTGCGATAAGATAGGTGTATTGTTGTGATATGAGTGTATTGCAATTAAATAGGTATATTGCTATGAGATGTATGTATATTGCGGGGAGATGGGTGTTGTGTAGTGAGATAGGTGTATTGTGATGGCACAGGTGTATTGCAGTTGAAATGAGATAGAAGGTGCATTGTGAGAAGATGAATGGTAGATCAGGGTAAATGAAAGCTTGATTATATTATTCTCTATCCAACTTGAAAGATGGTGTCCAGGAGGATGGATATGTTGACATTTTTGTTTTGATGTGTCTCCAGTATTGTACAACGTCGCTGTCTGCCACAATACATGATACGGTCCTGGACTCGTGTTTGTTCTTATTAATGGGCCTGGGGTGGTTTTTGTTACTGTAGTTTTGAGGAATATGAAACTTTTTTTTTGTTGTGTGCCCCTCTCTCTCTCTCTCCCTCTCTTCCTCCTTCTCTCCCTCTCTCTCTCTCTCTCTCTCTCTCTCTCTCTCTCTCTCTCTCTCTCTCTCTCTCTCTCTTTCTTTCTCTCTCTTTCTCTCTCTTTCTTTCTCTCTCTTTCTCTCTCTCTCTCTCTCTCTCTCTCTCTCTCTCTCTCTCTCTCTCTCTCTCTCTCTCTCTCTCGCTCCATTTCCTTCTCCTTTTCTTCTTCTATTTCTTAAATTTATACTGCTCTGTTTCTTGTCTTTCTCTTTATCTTTATATTATAATATACTGAAGTCTATTGTGTAACGGTTAGGCTCTGCACCGTGGCACGAAAAAAGTGTGAGCTTGGGAAAGTTATTTTATCGAGTGGAGTTGGGAAAGTTATTTTATCGAGTGGAGTCAGAATTGTCCAAGATGGCCGTAGAGAACAGTTGTTGTCTCAGATAACATTGGAGGAAGTTGCAGGTGATCGTTCCTACTGGTGATTGTTCTGGACCGGTGGTCGTTAGAACAGGTTTGACTATATTTAAATCAGCCTGCTGGCATGCACAACTCTCTCTCTCTCTCTCTCTCTCTCTCTCTCTCTCTCTCTCTCTCTCTCTCTCTCTCTCTCTCTCTCTCTCTCTCTCTCACACACACACACACACACACACACACACACACACGCACACACACAAACATACACACGCACACACACACACTCCTTCCCCCTCTCAGCCTCCTCCCTCTCACTCTCTCTTTCTTTCCTCTCTCTCTCTCTCTCTCTCTCTCTCTCTCTCTCTTTCTTTCTCTCTCTCTTTCTCTCTCTCTCTTTCTCTCTCTCTCTCTCTCTCTCTCTCTCTCTCTCTCTCTCTCTCTCTCTCTCTCTCTCTCTCTCTCTCGCTCTAATAGCCAGTGTTAAAATATCCTGGTTCCTAAATGATCTGTCTTGCTCTTTTCCTGCACTAGATGACCGTTATTGTGTCAACGATGTGCTTTTCTTTACCCGACAAACCAAGACTTAACTCTTCAGTTAAAGTAAAGGCTACAGGCATTTGTGGTGTAGCTGTTAGGCGCTTCGCCTCACACGCAAGAGATCCAAGTTCGATTCCTGAGCAAGAAGATATTTATCGAATACAATGTACAAAACATCGGTCTTTCTGCTGGGACGTTGTATCCCTCGCGCCCTCTGATGACCCTTACAGGCAGGGTCAAAACCCGCCCCCTAAATGGTTTAAATTGTGCCGATGGAGGCATAAAAATAAAAATATAAACACCTAAATGAAAAAAGGGAAAGGAAATACACATATGTACATCATTCTTTGTTTAATACTGTCATGGCAATGTAAATAAATATCTTGATTAACAGGGGAATTATGAACTTTGACACATGTGGCACAGACGTGCTGAGATATCTGGTTGGAAGAAAAAGTCGCACTGCTATTTGTCCTGTCAACGTAATTGTGTCCTCTGATATATATACAGTAGTCTCCGCCTAAGATCCTGGTGCTCGGGAGCAAGGAAAAGCGGGATCTTAGGCGAACCGGGATCTTAACCGACGAACCCAGGGAAGAATCTATGGTGACCCATGTTAAGGCTTACAATCGGTAAAATGGTCTCCCTCCACTCTAAAATGAACTGACGTGATCGCTTGGTGGGTTTATGACGTATGGCGAGCAAAGAGTGGTTAACCTTGATGACCTATCACAGGGCATAGTGGGATGAGGTGTGCCATTTTCACTTATTATCCTATCATGAGGCTCAAGATCTACGCTTATCAAGTTGCCCCTCCCCTCCCCCTTACCTGTCGGAAATTTATAGCTTTCCATCTCCCCCAACCGCCTTTGTCGTTACACACCATTACGTTGTGAACACACCAATTAAAATTCAGTCTGTCTCGCAAATTCGGGAGTAGAAACAACTTCTCCAATGGTCAGGGAAGAGTTCACAGTTCAATGTGATCCCGCCAGGAGCGAACGTGGAGGCCCTACCCACCCAGCGAGTGATGTAAGTTTAGGGGGATAGCTCAGGTGTGAGTGAGATGTTCGGGGAAAACAAACGTGTCGGTCAGTTCACACCCCGGTGTGATCCCGTCTGGGGCAAACATTGTATCGCTTCATCGAGTTTTACAACGTGTATGTGTTCACATTCACGATAGTAGCTGATCTATGATGCGACGGACAGTTTATTGATCTCAAATTTTCACTCTTGGTTGATCTGGGTGTCCCGCCCGGGGTTTTTTTTCCGCAAATTATGATCTGAAATGCGGGATCTTAGCCGAATGAGTGAATCAGAGCGGGATCTTAGGGGTGACTTTTGTATAGTAAAAATTCTGTTTTCTTAAAACAACGGGATCTTAAGCGAACCGGGATCGTAAGCGGTGGGATCTTAGGCGGAGACTACTGTATTATATTTTAAATCAACCATTACTCACAGGTCGTGGTAGGCGGTAGCGGGGTGCTCTGGTGTGGTTTGCTTCTTCTTTCCTGTCAAACATCTGTCGTCCCTATCTCCCCTCCTTTTTCCTCTTCTATCTAGTCACACATCTAATTTTCGGTTAAGATATGACCTATATGTTTTGCAAGTGCCGTAAAACGCTACTTAAACTATAAAACAAAACGAACGAAACGCAATGTCTTGTTTTCTGTGTCAAGTTCAAGGGGAAAGTGTGTCGGGCTAAGCTATCTAATCTAAGGTGTCGGGTCAACATGAAAGTCGGTCACATGATAATGCTACAAGACTACCAAAGCTACGTGTCAAATTAGGATGATAAATAAAACATGTAAACTACTATATCACTATACATATTATTATTATATTTTAGTTTTACTTATAGATGTGTTCATGAAAACACTGACGTTGGATGTGTGTTTGGAAACTCTCACTCTAACAAGATTTATTAAGATGACTTAGTTATCGTAAATGTACATCTTCCAGTTTTTTTAAAATTATATTAAAAGGGGGGGTAGGGGTATTTGTACGTTGTATCAATCAATCAATCGTTAACGGAACAGTGATCAGAAAAAATCGATCTCTCTGTGGTGAGAAATGTTGACTGTTCCCATCAAACAGATTTTTGTGTGTTTTCACATAATGTAATCTGAAGGCGCAGAATAACCTCAACAAAACAGATTCGATTAATGCTTCTTCTTGTGTCACTCGATTCAATGACTTGCAAAAATTATCTGAACCGCACGCGTTTGACTAGAACCGAAGTACATACTCGGGGTGGGTGGATTTGTACATTTGACTGAGCTGGTAAGAAATGGGAGGCAACTCTTCCTGGCAGAATCGGTCTTCCTCTTTCTCTAACTCCTTCTTCTCATCTACAACAGGTACTCCTTCGTCCGGGCTTTTGTACGTGATGGGGACCTGGGGAGGGAGGAGAGAGAGGGTGGATCAAGTGAGTGGGAGAGACTTTAAAGGAGGATTCATTTGTCACCGATCTAGAAGTACATGTAAATGACGAGTGTAATTGTACATGTTTTACGCCACCATTGACACAATTTAGATAATTTAGGAGGCGGGCATCTCCCGCCCTACTTATCAGGGCCAATCTGGGCTTAGAAGGATTCAACGTACTAGCGCAGACAGGCGGAGAAACTGGATTTTTTCCATCCCCACCCCCGTACACGCACAGAGAGAGAGAGAGAGAGAGAGAGAGAGAGAGAGAGAGAGAGAGAGAGAGACGCGCACACACAAAACTCAAACTCATAACAATATTCTGCGTACGACGGCGAAGTACCACAGATGCTGATGTGGCTCGGGCGTTTGAAGAAGTAGCCTAATGGCCAGCCTCTTCAAAGAGTAAAAGAACTCACGATAAGTATCTTCGTCATCAAAATAAATTTTGTTCTTCACATGAGCATTGCTCGATGGGGGCGTAAAACACCTTACATTTTATAGCAAAAGGAGCATTGCATTATCTCTTTGACACTAAACTGGGCGGATGTCTATGATGATAATGTGGACAGGCTCTTCGCCGTTTTTCGCGGAAGCCGTGAGTTCTATTCACAAGTAGGGAAAACTATTTCAACGAGAATCTCCGCCTGTCTGGTGGGAGGTTGAATCCTTTTTAGTGTCTTAGCCCAGATTGGCCCTGACAGGTAGGGTCGAAGAAGTTCGCCTCATGCAAGGTTAAATTGTGTCGAACGGGCCCGGGAAATCAATACAATCAATAATCGGTCAGGGAATCACAAAAATAAATTTACGCGATATTAAATAAATGTATTATCTGCCTTTTGCAAGAGATGTATAATACCTTTTGAAACCGAAAGGACGAATCAATAGACGAGTGTGTTTCGTGCTGCAAACCAATAGTGCTGCCAAATTATGTTGTCAAACAATGTACATGAAATCCAGATATTAATATAGCTTTTATGCTTGAGTTCTTTATAACAGACTTAAAAAATCACAGCCACAATCGATTGTTTCAGCTAACAATAGACGTAAGCGTCTCTTATGTATAAATTTCGCAACAGCCTCTCGGGTGTCCCGGGACCCTAAAACCTTCGTGGGTGGCCCCTACAATAATTTTGATATATTAGCGGCCTTACGCTCTGTTAGCTCAGTCGATATCATGCTGGACTAAGGAGCGGATAGCCCTGGTTCGAACCCCAGACTGAGTGTTCCTGAACTATGGTCGTTTTGTGGAGTTTTCAAGACTCTCAACACATTTTGGATCCGTCCTGTCAGAGAAGGACTTTGAATTCGGAAGTCTCGCCTCTTAAATAATCTAACACTAACAGTGTTGATAGAAGCTCTAAATCCATACTTTTGCGACCTGACACCACATTATACTGTAGCTATCTTAGAATAATTATATAAATCTCATATCTTATTGCATCTTATTGCATCTCATTTTATTGTATTGCACCTCATTTTATCTTAGATTTTTGCATCTCATTTATTTTATCTTGTTGTATCTCCTACCTGATCTCATTGAATCTCGTTTTATCTTATTGCATCTTATCTAACCTTATCTTATCGTATCTTATCTCACAACACTGGCCAGCTCACCTGCATGTTGACCCTGTAGCGGGGCTGCTCCCAGGGCCAGGGCGGCCTGTGCAGAGGGTCGGGCTGAGGGTTGGAGCTGGCTTCTGAGATCCACTCAGGATGTACCACGTAGTACGACCTTGACCCGAAAGCGTTCTGGTGGATTCAGTGAGGGGTGGGAAAGATAGAGATGCACGCACACTCTTACACTTACACACACATACTGACACATTTGCACACTAACACTCTCATACACACACTTAGACATTCGCTCGCGCGCGCACACACACACACACACACACACACACACACACACACACACACACACACACGCGCGCGCACATATACTCTCACACACGCATGCACACAACGCATATGTACACACGCACACTGAAACACATATTATTATATGTACACATATTCATATGTCTATATACAAAAGACACAAACACACACACACATATATATACATGTATTTGCACGCGCGTGTGTGTGTTTTGTGTGTGTGTGTGTGTGTGTGTGTGTGTGTGTGTGTCTGTGTGTGTGTGTGTGTGTGTAAGTGTGTGTGAGTGTGTGTGTGCGTGAATGTCAGTGTGAGTACAAATCTGTGTGTGTGTGTGTGTGCGCGCGCGCGCGTGTGTGTGTGTGCGAATGTCAGTGTTTGTACAAATGTGTGTGTGTGTGTGTGTGTATGTGTGTGTGTGTGTGTGTGTGTGTGTGTGTGCGTGCGCGCGCACTGTCGAAGTTGTCCAAGACGGCACCCATTGTCTAGCAGATAGACAGACAGATAGAGAGAGTGCCTAAATCTCTACTAGTCTGTAGTAAACTATTAAGACAGCAAAGGTATAATGTAACACCTAACCTCAATTAAAATAGGGGAATTGGAGAGATGTAGTTGAAGGCAGACAGACAAACAAACGAACAAACAAACAAACAAGCAAAGATTAATCGTGGCAATACCACTGATATCTGTGGTGCGGTGGTAAGGCTCTTCGCCTTTGCACAAAGAAGACGAGATTTCGATTCTTTTTTTTCATAATGATTATTATAGATAATAAATAGCATTTGTATAGCGCATATCCCCGTCGGTAGCATGCTCTCTCTCCGCCTTTAAAATCTATATCATTACCCAGCAGACCCTCCACCACTCAAAAACATTCTCGGCCTCCTCGGAAGCATACAGTGCAAGCAGCTCTCTAAGCGATCAAGCACTATCGATCTGACAAGATCTTTCGCTGCCCACAGCCGCGCATCCATTCCCACCTGGGTGAAATGTGGAAAATTTGCGAAAAGCGCCTTTCCAAAATGTACACTACGTCAGCGCACCTTTGACGGGATTCGTACCCACAACCATACGGTTGTGAATCCTAAAGCCTACCCACTAGACCATCGACAATCTTTGTCTGCACCATGAGAATCCCACTCAGACCAGGTTGGTCTTGGTAGGGTCGAAGCAGCCTGTCTCCTAAATTGTGTCAAAGGGCGCCTACAGCACTTAGGGTAAAGCTTTTCAAATGTCAGTAACATCTAATCTTTATGAAGTACGCACGCCGAAGATACTGTCTTGATGATTCACATTCAGGGTCTGGGGCTTCAACTCTCTGAAAAGATAAAGATGAAAAATAACAACTGATTAATGTTTGTTGCACATGTGTATCTCTCTTCAGCTATCGAATATATCATCTCCTCCTCCTCCTCCTCATCATCATCATCATCATCATCATCATCATCATCATCATCATCATCATCATCATACACCGGCCATACACATTTGCTCTTCCAGACACTTCCTCATAGCGTGATATCTGGCGAGCTGACAGCGTCTGTTGTTTTGTTGATTCGGGTGATAGAACCATCATTCAGGATATCAAGCGATACACGCCCATTCGACCATATTTTATTATCTTCTCCTCGTGCATCCTCTGGCTGAATCTCATCCCAGACTGGTGAATGCTCATTGATGTCACCGCAGATGATGCCGACATTGGGATGCTGTTCAAATCAAGCTGGATGGTTTGACCTGTGCTGTTCTTGGGTGGGCAGTAGAAGCTTTTGGTAGGTTGGCTTCGCTAAATGCAACCCCAGACTTGTTACACGGCAACAGCTCCTCTGGTCCCGGGTTTAGTTCAATGTCACCTGCACGATTCAGTCTGATCTTTCAGTATCCAGAGTAGAATGTGGTTTTCCCAGTCTTGATCTGAGGATCAGGAATGCGGAAGTCAGAGGCTGGGAGTCTGCTCCCGCTCTCCAAAAACACGCTGGGACGTGCTTGTTGCCAAAGGGCAAATTTTCTTGACGTCTTCTCCCTGATTGGCGAGTAGAGGTGCCTCTTTGCAGTAACTTTGGTGTCGGCTGCAGAGCTTCCCCATTGGTTGTGGCTGTCTGCGTTGAGAACGGTACTCCCCATCGTGAAGGGGAGGAGTGAGGAGCAAAGGCAAGGATCCTGTAAAGGCACGTGCAGCTGCAGAGGATGTGATCAAAGAGGTTGGTGCCAATGTGACTATTTTCCCCGATGGATCGGCTGTCGCAGGATACCACGAAGGCGGAGCAGCAGCAATGGTGGAAATGAATGATGAACCACCACAAACAGAAATCATTAAAACTAAAGGTGCATTCCTTACATCATCTTATGACGAGGAGTGCCAGGCAATGATGTCTGCTGCATAATGGATTGCTGACAATTGCCACAGTAGAACCAATGTGCTGATCTTGACTGACAGTCAGTCCCTCTGCCAGGGACTGCTAGACAACAGCTCGGACATAAATAATTTGCCCCCCAAGTTCAGTGCAGTTACAGCCACAATAAAAATCCAATGGATTCCAAGTCATGCTGGAATCGAAGGAAATGAGGCAGCAGACCAAGCTGCTAATGAAGTCAGAGAGAATGAAGGAGACAGACGACCAATTACATACAGAGGAGTCTTTCCAGTGATCAAGAGGGAAATCAGAGACCCACTATGCAGCACCTGGAAGATGTGTATTCTGGGTACTCCAATAGGCGGGAACAAAATAATCACATGTTGCTGGGACCACTTGAGCTTGTGAGACTGCAGTCGGACCATCATTGGAGCTTGAGTTGGTATAAGAACTTTGTCAAGGACGAGCTCAGCCCACGTTGCCGAAGATGCAGCCATGAAAAGGAGGAAGTTAAACATATGCTTGAATGTCCAGGAACAATGGCAATTCGAATGGAGTTATTTGGACAAGTGGAGGTGCCGCTAAGCATATTGACAATGGAGCCGAAAAAGATCCTCGCTCTCGCTCGAAGATTTCTTCGTGGAGTCCGCCATGCGCATTAAGGAAACCCCCCAAAAAATCAGCAGCAGCAGCAGCAGCAGCAGCAGCAGCAGCAGCAGCATCAATAGTAATAATAGCAGTGGTAATAGTAGTAGTAGTAGCCGTAGTAGCAGTAGTGGGAGTAGTAGTAGTAGTAGTAGTAGTAGTAGTAGTAGTAGTAGTAGTAGTAGTAGTAGTAGTAGTAATAGTAGTAGTAGTAGTAGTAGTAGTAGTAGTAGTAGTAGTAGTAGTAGTAGTAGTAGTAGTAGTAGTAGTAGTAGTAGTGGTGGTGGTGGTGGTGGTGGTGTGCGCTTCAAGACAAAACCCAAAAGTTGTTGAGAATATTCTTTCTCTCATATATTTTTAGTCGCATAGACATAAAAGATGAAACAATTGTGTAGTTGCGACCAAAAGAGGAGGATGACGACAATGTTAATGGTGATAATGAAGGAGGTGTGAATATTGTATTGGTGCTACTGATGTTATTGAGCTATTGTAGTTGCTGCTGCTGTGATTGATTGTGCTGACAAAGAAGAAGATCGTGATGATCACCATGGTATTGATGATGAAATGAACAACAGCAACAGTGCGCTAAACCATGGAAAACAAACAACAACAACAACAACAGCAGCAGCAGCAGCAGCAACAACAACAACAACACAAGTACACGAAGCTAGGGGATTACACAACAAGAATAAACATATCTTTTTCGAGATTTATAGACTTTTTAATAACAGGAAGAGATATATTCGAGGAAAAAAGAATACACAGAATTGACCTATACCCCTCCATTCCGTATTTTTAGTATAAATAAATTAAATGATAATTAAGGGTAGGCTAGTTGCGAATTAAATTGTCCCAACCTTACAGCGGATGCAAAGGGTACAGGATGTACAAAGATAGAGGGGAAAATAAGGTACAGCTGAAGAAAGTTGATGCCTCAGGTTGTTTAGCATGTCTCGAAAGACGGGGGAGAATATGAAGAAGACGAAACAAGAACTAGAAGTGTTCGACAAATTTAAATTATATGAGTAAATTGTCATGAAATCAGACTCTCGTCTAAAAGATGAAAATGAAGAAACCGACTTTTTCTTATCCACTTTTTTGTAAAGCGTTTTACGGCACTTGTAAAGCAAACAGGTTATATGAGTGTCGAATATTAGAGACTAGCTGGACCCCCTTTCAATGAAAGGGATGATCGGTGCATTAACATCAACCGAAAGTCATTGGCCTACTAGATTTACATTCTACTGGAATGGAGCACTAAATTTTGAGAGATGCAAAAAATTTTGAAGGTTTTGATTTATACGCTCAAAACAAAATGCGCCTCGCGAAATATCACTTCCGGCACTTCCGCTGGGAAGGACAGCTATGCAGATTTGTTTCGTTTCTCAGTGGAATAATCACAAAGGCCAAAGAAGGGCGGGAACTTTTGTCAAATATATGTTTCTAAATTCAGGAAATTAATAAATAAAAAATCGGGCTGCGTCCAGGGGACCTATCTATCTTTTTGCAGGTACTTGCCAACGTTCAACCCTGTAGCTGTCGTAGTTTTAAGGGAAAAGTGACACATGTGTTTTCAAGTTGCCAAATATAATATAATAGATGTCACTAGAGAGTAACATACCAAGAAAAGGGGGACAGAGAAGGACAACAGGTGTTTGATAGGAAAGGAAGAACAAACCACACCGCAGCACCCACTAACCATCCACTTTTTCTGAATGTCAGGCAATTTTCATAGATTTTTTAAAACATATGTTATGTTCGTTTTAAACACATTCCCGTATCGGTTGATCAAAGGTTGTTTTTTAAATTTAAATTTGTAGTTTCTAGGGACACTCAAGCTTTAAAAGTCATCAAACTTAGGAGGCCATTTTGTCCTTAATTTTACCTCTGACACAAGACGATCTCACCTTTTTCAATCGCAAATATCTCAACTTCTAGATAAGATTGATTGGTACGGTATTATTCTTTTTCAGTAAGAGCAAGAAAAATGAACAAGATTTAAATAGATACTAACAACGCCAAGTCTAAAAAAATTACGAGAGTCTGAAAACAGCCTATCGAAGCATAATTAAAGAAGATCAAAAGCAGATTATTACTACATCCTTTCTGTAAGATGGTGTCTTGTCCCCTGTCATCGATGATGATGATGATGATGATGATGATGATGATGATGATGATGATGATGATGATGATGATGATGATGATGATGATGATGATGATGATGATG